ACCCTTTTCTGTTTAAATAAAAAGGAAGGTTTTAACTTTTACATAGTAAAATTACATATAACAAAAGAGGTATTAGTCAGTGAGAAGCCATTTAGCCTACATCAGAGACAGATGTGCTGGAATTTTACCCAGTAAGCCACAGCCACATGGCAATACACAAATTAATAGAAATGGGTTAATTTAAGATGTAAGAGCTAGCCAATAAGAAACTAGAGCTAATAAGTCAAGCATTGATTTAGTTAATACAATCTCTATGTGATTATTTCAGGGCTAAATGGCTGGGAAACAAACAAGCAGCCTCTGCTACAAACTGGCATGCTGATGTGGTTGACTATATCCACATAAAACCTGAGAAAGCTAAAAAAAAAAAAAGGAATTCTAAACACAAAAGAACAGAGTTAAGCATGTTTTTTTGGTAGCAGCATTTTCTCAGATAGGCTCTGTTTGCTAGAAGCAAGCAGAGCCACGATTCTTTTAAGAGACGGCTTCCTGACTCAGTGGTAGCAGCAAAAACTTTGCAGCTCCTTTAAGAAGGCTTCCAAGGCAATGCTGCCAGGATTAACTCTGGATCTTTCAGGAGACAGAGCATTTAAACGAGATTTGTGAGCAGCATGCTACAAACTGCTTAATGGCACATCATTCATCCACTGTACTGTGCAACTGGGGCAGTGTGCACGGCTCACAGAGGCAGTGACTATGCCTCTGCCATGTTGAACTGGGCAGAGCCAAAAAGCAAGGTAGCGTTGGTTCTAGCCATGCCCACTTATCATTTTTTTTTCAAAAAGCACTCCCGGTAAAAAAAAATTACAGATATGCAATAAAAACAAATTTAGATGGAAAAGACCCCTAAATGGGTCACAGCATTGGATAAATGTACATAGGCTTAAGAGAGAGAGGAAAAAGAGTATAGACAGATATAATATAAAAGAGTGAAGACAGTCATAGCTTAAAGAAGTAAAGATAATAAGATAAAAAAATAAATATTAAACTTGTAGAAAAAGGAATATAGTAAGATATATCAGCCACGTATAGATAGATATACACAGAGAGTCTGGATTATGTATATTTTTGTGTTTTCTTTGAATTTTTGACTGTGAAGGAGCTAAATACAGAGAGAGATTTCATTGTATGGACTGCTGAGCTAAACCAACATATATATTTTAAAGGTATCTTGACTATAAAATTTGGGTCTAAGGATTTGTTGCTTTGGGAAAGAGGTTCTGCTTTTGTTTCCACAGAAGATAAGAACCTGTGGATTTCTTCCATACTAATGTGGTTTTATGGACCAAGACCACCCAAAAGGCCTCCCTAAACACCCCAAAAGTTACTTTGCCCAATTAACAACAGGAAGTAGTTTGGAGAGAACTATGTCCAAATTCCCAAATATTGCTTATAAATGTTGGTTTACATTTAAGGGAATATGCTATAGAGATGAATGTTTTGCATTGGTATGGATCTTGGTTTATTAATACAAATTTTAGGCCAGTTTTGTTATATATATATTTCTGCTCATGATTAATGTATTGTATTTGCATACCTCATTTAAAATGTAATGTATGAGTCCTGGGACATTGATGGACCAGGGTTGTGCCAGCAACATGGTCCAGAGCAGACCTGAGAAAGCGAGCTCCACTGGAACAGGTAAAGGGGAGTGGCCACTGAGTGAGTGAGCCATAGACAAACTACCGAGGTAGTAATCTGGGACCTTCAAGGGAGTAAACCTAAGCCAGAACCCCTGTGGGTCTGAGCATGAGTTTAGGGACCTCCGAGGAACTAGGCCTGAGCCAGGGCATCTGCCAGTTTGGGTGTAAATCTGGGACCTCTGAGGGAGGAGGCAGGAACCAGAGATTTCTACAGGGCCAGGAATGAGCCTGGGACCTCAGAGCAAGTAGACCTGAGCCAGGACCTCTGTATGTCTGGGCATTGGTCTGAGACATGAAAGGGAATAGGCAGGAATCTGAAACCTCTGCAGGTCCAAGTGTGAGTCTGGGACCTCTGAGGGAATAAACCTGAGCCACATCTTATGTGGGTCTGGGCACACCCAAGCCTGGGAACTCTGAGAGAGTAAACTGGAACCAGAAACCTTTGCAGGACTAAATCCAAGCCAGGCACCTCTGCAGAAGGGGATCCAGACCAGGATTTGCAGAAACAAGTCAAAGCTGGTAACCTAGGCCAAAGTAGGCCTGAGACACCAAACTCCACGCTAGTGAAGTAAAGCCCAGGAGCACTGAGCAATCTCCAGGAACATGGAGTAACCAACAGGGTAACTAGAACTGTACCATTGACTATATAATGAGGAACAACCATCTGAGCTTTGGATTCACTGGCACCTAGAAGATTAATCAACAGAATTACAGACAGCCCCAACCACACCTATTAGAGAAAAAGATGAGTAGAAAAGGTAAGAACACATGCAACACCACAAAGAGCAACATGAAACAAGTAAAACCTAGAGACCCCACAACAGCAAGACTTGAACAACCAAATATAGATGAAGCAGAAGAAAATGACCTAAAATATAAGTTCAGGAGAATGTTTAAAACTCTTAAAGAGGAAATGAGAAATTCCCTCAAAGAAATGGAGGAAAAGACAAACAAAAATTGGAAGACATCAGCAAATACCTTAAAGAAAACCAAAAAAATGGAAATCAAAAATATGAAAAAACTATTCAAGGCTTGAAAACTGAAACAGAGACAATAAAGAAAACACAAGTCGAGGCAATTATAGAGACAGAAAACATGAGAAAATAATCAGGAACCACAAACACAAACATGAACAGCAGAATACAAGAGATGGAAGAGAGAATCTCAAGTGCTAAAGATACAATAGAGGAAATAGACTCATCAGTCAACGAATACATTAAATCTAAAAAAGCTTAAACCAAAATATCCAGGAATAATGTGGGAGTGATTTCTTATTAATAAAGAAACTGCCTTAGCCCATTTGATAGGCCAACCCTTAGGTAGGCGGAGAAAACAGAACAGTATGCTGGGAGAAAGAAGCTGAGTCAGTGAGTCACCATGATTCTCCTACTCCAGACAGACGCAGGTTAAGATCGTTCCCGGTAAGCACACCTCATGGTGCTGCATAGGTTATTAGAAATGGGTTAAGAGGCTAAAACTAATGGGCCAGGCAGTATTTAAAATAATACAGTTTCCGTGTAATTATTTTGGGGCATAAGCTAGCCATGCAGGCCGCCGGGTGACAGGGACGCAGTCCCACCCCTCCTATTACTACACAGGAAATTTGGGAAATATTCATGAAAAGGCCAAACCTAATAATAATAGGTATAGAAGAAAGAGAAGAAGTTCAATTCAAAAGCACAAAAAAAGTATTTAACAAAATCATAGAAGAAAACTTTCCCAACCTAAACAAAGATATGCCTATGAAGATATAAGAAGCTTATAGAACACCAAATGGACTGCATCCAAAAAAAAAGTTCCCTCGTCATATAATAATCCAAAAACTAAACATATAGAGTAAAGAAAGAATATTAAGAGTTGAAAAGGAATAAAAACCAAGTAACATATAAAAATAGACCTATCAGAATTACACATGATTTTTCATTGGAGACAATGAAAGCCATAAGGTCATGGTCAAACGTTATGCAGACATTAATAGACCATGGATGCCAGCCCAGACATACTATACCCAGCAAAACTGTCAATCACCATAGAAGGACAAAATAAGATATTCCATGACAAAACCAGATTTCACCAATACCTAGCCACAAACACAGCCTTACACAAAATACTAGAAGGAAACTCCAACCCAAGGAAGTTGGCTACACCAACAAAAGCACAAACAATTGATGGTCTCATAGCAGCAAATCCCAAAGAAGGGAAAAGCACACAAATAAACATCACCAACCATTAACTAAATTAACAGGAGATAGCAATTACTGGTCATTAATATCCCTTAATATAAATGGACTCAACTCACCTATAAAAAAGGTACAGGCTAACAGATTGGATATGAAAACAGAATCCATCTTCTTCTGCATACAACAAACACATCTCAACGTCAAAGACTGACATCATCTCAGAGTAAAGGTTAGGAAAAAATATTCCAATCAAATGGACCTAAGAAACAAGTGGTATAGCTATCCTAATATCTAACAAAATAGACTTCAAACTGAAATCAATCAAAAGAGACAAAGAAGGACATTTCATATTAGTCACAGGAAAAATCCATCAAGAGGAAATATCAATATCTATGCCCAAAATACAAGGGCACCCTCATATGTAAAAGAAACTTCTAAAGCTTAAATCAAACAAACAAAAAACCCACACACTAATATTTGGAGACTTCAACACTCCACTCTCACCACTGGACATGTCAGTCAGGCAGAAACTTAACTGAGAAATAAGAAAACTAACAAATGTTATGACTCAAATAGCCTTAAGAGACATATATAGAATATTCCATCCAAACACAAAAGAATATACCCTCTTCTCCACACCTCACGGAACCTTCTCAAAAATTGGCCACATACTTGGTAACAAAACAAACCTCAACAAATACAAAAACATTTGGAATAGCCCCATGTATCTTATCAGATCACCATGGTTTAAAACTAGAAGTCAACAGCAATACTAATTCCAGAAAGCACACAAACACATGGAAATTAAACCATGCTCATCTTAATCACTAATGGGTCAAGGAAAAAATAAAGGGAAAAATTAAAGACTTCCTAAAATTCAGTGAAAATGACCACACAACATACCCAAATGTATGGGACACAATGAAAGCAGTGTTAAGAGCACTAGATGCCTGCATAAAGAAGCTGGAAAAATCCCACACTAGTGAAATAACAGAACATTTGAAAGAAGCAAACTCACCTAAGAGAACTAGACAACAGAAAATAATCAAAGTGAGAGCTGAAATCAACAAAATAGAAAAAAAGAAAATAATACAGAGAAAAAACAATGAGACAAAGAGTTGGTTCTTCGAGAAAATCAACAAAATAGAAAACCTTTATCCAAACTAACCAAAAAGCAGATAGAGACTATCCAAATTGACAAAAATCAGAAATGAAAAGGGGAACATAACAACAGACATGGAGAAAGTACAGAGAATCATCAGGTCATGTTTTGAAAACCTGTACTTCACAAAATTGGGCAGAATGAAGCTAGGTGGGGAAACTAAACTGAATGCTGGGAGAAAGTAGGCGGAGTCAGTGAGAAGCCATGGAGCCCCATCAGGGACAGACCTTGCCAGTAAGCTACAGCCATGTGGCAATGCACAGATTAATAAAAAAGTGAGTTGATTTAAAATATAAGAGTTAGGCAGAAATATGCTTAATCTATTGGCCAAAGAGTATTACAAATAATATAGTTTCTGTGTGGTTATTTCGGGTCTGGGCAGCCTGGAACAAACAAGTGGCCTCTGCCTACAAGTGGGACTGGAATTCTCAGTGAGAAACCGTGTTTTGATAACATTAATGCTATCCCACTGCCAGGCTTTCAGCAAAATGCTGAATTTCAGAAGTGACTCACTTGTCTCAAAACCTACATGTCCAAGTTCACCATCAGGAATTTCTTTTATCCAGAGACCTTCTTCTTCCCCAAAGCTGTTCACTGACTACAGTAGCTGGGAGCCTTTTGCTGCTTGCAATCCAGCAGTTCTGAGGTCAGTCATCCAGTCACCACTCACTCCTGAGGCTGGTAGGCACTGCTGGCATCTGGTGGATAGGAAAGCCTCATGAGTCCCTAAATAACACACACTGTCATACTCACACACACTAAAATGCTAAAAACCAAAATACATTTTTAAAAATTAACTTAAGGAAGAAAGGGTTTATTTTTGTTGCAGGAAAGACAGTTCATTGGGGGCGGGAAGTTGTGGCAAGAGGGGCAGGAGGTGGCTGAGCACTCTGTAGCTACAGGCAGGAAGTAGAGTGATGAATGTGGTGATTAGCTCTGTGTCTCCAGGACCCTAGCCCATGCAACATTATCACTACATTTATCATGGGTCTTCCCACCTCGATTCACAGGATCGAGATACCCATTACAGACATGCCCACAAACCTCTTCTATGTTGAGTATAAACATATCAAATCAACACTCCCTTCCTGTTACACCTTTAGGAAAGACTAATTTTGCTTTTGATCTCTTGATTGACATTGGAAAGCACTCTTCTCTTTCCTTTGAGACAGGGTCTCTTTAAGGATGACTTTGAACTCCTAATTCTCCTGCCTCTGCCTTTTGGATACTGGAGTTACAGGTGTGCTATACCAAGCCTGGTTCATGTAGAGGAGGGGTATTTAACCCAGGGGCTTCATTCATGCTCTGCAAGTGTTCTGCTGCCTGAGCTACATCCAAGCCCTGAAAGGCCCCTTTCTGCTCTACAGTATAGTCTACATTCTTTCTTCTACTAGATAACAGCTATTCTGGGTATGAATCAAGCTGCCTTTGCCTAGGCTGAGTCACTACTTCTTGTGTGACCCTTGTGGCCTCATGCAAAGAACAATGACGACAATGAAACTATGTTACAGTTGAAATCTTATATCCCAGCTCTCCAGGTATGTAACTCTTTTTATATCTCTGCCTTACGAATGTCCTTTTTTGATATGTATTTCATTTCTCTAACCATAAATAGTACAGAATGGAATTAGCTGCAGTTATCCAGAAGATATAATTAAGTTTATATATTATTTTTTATAACCGATATGCAATGATTTTCAATTTTATTCATAATTACTAACTTCTTTTAAAAAATGTGTATTAAGTGGAAATATTGTCCCATTTTATAGCCTATTCTGATGTTAATAAAATAACACAATAAAATACCACCCACGCAGATGATAAGCCTCACTCCATCACTTAGAAGCTTAATTAGCAAATTGAAGATTTAGTCTCACAGTTACACTTATATTTTCCGAGGTTTTAATTTAAGTAAAGCCTGTGGCCTAAATTGCAGTAATTATACCATGGTACAAAGTAAATAGAAGTGTGTCTGTCTTTCACAATTATGGCTTAATTTCATCTCCCACTTTCCCACATGGCAACGAAAATTTGTTTATATTTTGATTTGGTTTATAAAGGTTTGTTGTTTTTGTTTTGTTTTGTTTTGTTTTTGGTGTGAGGGGAGCAGGGTCATATGTTCTAAAAACAGAAGTGCAAATGTGCAGATACTTCATGGATTTTGCCCTCAATAAATATTACTGTTTGCTGGCAGTATATACAATGACATAGCAATGCTTTCAGTCTCCAAGGAAGTGTCACCTTCCTCAACACCTTCAGAAAACATTCGAGGAGAAAGGGTTATTGGGTGGAGTTTACTGTGTCTGCATTTGTCTCTAGTAGGATAAAAATCAATTTCAGTGGCAGGTACAAAAAAAAAAAAAAAACCAAACAGGCATTTCTGCAATGAAGGGGCATCCCTTTGATAAAGTGTTCCCTCAGTGCAGACACTTGGCCATTTCCAAGACCCTGAAACCTTTTGTCCAGCTCTGATGCTGCATGTCCACCTGCCAGGCTCCTTTTGTCCCCAGGCACTCTATGTCCTGTCCTCACACAAGTGTTCCAACACTGCTTTGTGTGCCTCCTGCATCACTTGTCACCCACTGTAGTGACAAGTTGGGCAACTGTCATCAAGTTCTTGCTCCTATAACTGGAGAAGCAGAGGGAGTAGTAAATGGATCATGGCCTGAAAGTCAAGCTCTTTTGGTAGAGGGTTTGCCTGCATGCATGAAGTCTTGATTTTGATCCCCAGTACTGTATAAACCAGGTGTTACGACACACCCCTATATTCCTAGGACCCTAGAGCTCATCCTGAGCTATGTGACAAATTTTAAGCCAGCCTAAGCAACACGAGATACCCAAAGAAAGAGTGACAGAGACAGACAGACAGAGAGAGATAGAGACAGACAGAGACAGAGACAGACAGAGAGAGAGGAAGAGAGAGAGCATCTAGTACCTTTATCACTACTGCAGATGGCTCATCCCTGTGCTGGTTACTTTTCTCGTTATTAAGACAAGATGTTTGACAGAAACAACTTAAGGAAGAGATATTTATTTGGCTCATGGTTTCAAAAAAACATCAGTTCATGGTGGTGGGCAGCCTTGAAAGGACAGCCCTGGGATGGCAGGAGAGTATGGCAGAGGCTCATTGACATTGTGGCCTGAGGCCAGGAAAGAGAAAACGGGGCCAGAAGTAAGCTACCCTGTAACCTCAAAGCCCCACCTTAATCACACACCTCAGCCAGTCAGAATTCTACTCCCAAAGAATTGCCCACAAATTCCCAACACAATACCACGATCTGTGGACCAAATATTCAAACTCATGAGTCTGGGATTCATAGGGCTTTTCACATCTCAATTATAAAAATCCTCATCTTTTGCAAACTTTAGCCCTCACTCTCTCCTACTTATTCTCTCTGTCTGCCAGCCCTGCCTATCCTTCTACAGCCTAGCTATTGGCCACTCAGCTTTTTATTAGAACAACCAGGTGCCTTAGGCAGGCAAGGTGAAACAAATGCAACATCTATTTCCATAATTAAACAAATGCAGCTAAACAAAAGTAACACATCTTTACATTGTGAGCAAAGGCAGCAGAAACAAATGTAACTCTTTTTTTTCTGGTTTTTTTTTTTTTTTCTTTTCTTTTCTTTTCCTGAGACAGGGCTTCTCTCTAGGTTTGGAGCCTGTCCTAGAACTAGCTCTTTTAGACCAGGATGGCCTCGAACTCAAAGATCTGCCTGCCTCTGCCTCCTGAGTACTGGGATTAAAGGTGCACCACCTCTGCCCAGCTCTTTTACACAGTTAAAGTACTATTCCCCAGCATAAACAAATGTAACACATCTTTACCTAGTAAAAGTTAAAGTAATACCACAATACTGCTACTAATTGTCAACCTGACAGAATCTAGAGCCATTTAGGAGACAAACCTCCTGCATGCCTGGAATAGAGTTTTTTCTGATTAATTTAATTGGGTGGGAAGTTCTTAGAGGCAAATATCTCCATGATTTTAGAGACCTGGAATGGTAAGTTTCTAGAATTCAGCCTTTGTTTGACTCCAGGCTCCAAACACAGTGTTCTGCAATTAGAACTTGTTTCTGGACCTTCCCCAACCAGACCTTCGGATGAGGGTGGCACTGCTCACCTGGGACACCACTTGCCTTACCGTAATAAACAGACAGTGCCATTCCATGGACTACAGTTCTGAAGAGAATAAAACGGAGAAAGTGAGTTGAATACTTCCATTTATATCTCTCTGCTTCCTGGGTATGGGTGCAACATGACCAACCATTGCCTACTGCCATGTCTTCCCTGCCATGGTGGGCAAATATTGAATATTTTGTCCCAGCAACAAAATGTTAACCATAATAACTTTATTATTAATTTATTATTATAATAAATTATTATAAATTATTATTTAATAAATTAAAACTTCAGACATTTTCAAGTTAAATTTCATATAGTTTTCTGATTTCGTAAAAATATTTTTCTGATAAAAGTTTTCTAATAAAAGACATCCTTTTGCATTTATTATAATGTTAAAATGGAAAAAAGAGGGAATTGATTCTGACCTTCTGAAACAATTTCAACCTTGTTTTAAATGACTATAAGGCAATTTCTCATAGAGCACGGCAGCCTGCCTCCTTCATACTGCCCGCCTGTCCCAGTTTTATGGGTGAGATAATCTCCAATTTTACAGTTACACTGCTGAACTGAATGTGGCTGTTAGCAGCCTGTGTCTTCCTTTACCATGGAGTTTTCAGCTTGGAATTTGATTTTTCAAGCCTGTGTTTGTACTACACTGCTGACATTGGTTGTTCAGGGCTATTCCTCAGGTATGAGGGTCCTCAGCTGTCTCAGTTCTTTGTGGAGACCACAGGTCAGAATATTTGAAGTAGAGATTGTCTCAGAAAAAGGGCTGTGTGGTCTGAAAAGGATGTAGGTATCCTTGTGTAGGAGCAAAGAGATGACAGAATGCACAGGCCCCTGTGTCCTGTGCCTCTAGGAATAACCAGGCCATCTTTCATTGAAGGGAGCAAGGAGACTCTAGCTCTTATCACCTTCCTCATAACTAGTGTTGGGAATTGACTGTGTGCAAGCACATGCACAGTCTTCTCCTGTACCAGTTAAAAATCCTTAGATGTGGAAGCCTCCATGAGCTCAGAGAGACCAGCAAAAACTATGAGTCTGAAGTCAAGCCTGTGTCTGTTTGACTCCAGAGACAGTACTCTGGGATTAGAGCCTGTTTCTGGCCAAACACAATTGACTAGACTTTTGGATGAGGGCGGTGCTGTACACCTGAGATACCACTAGGAAGCTGAGGCAAGAACAATGCATTCACAGTCATTCTAGGCAACTCAAAGAAACCTTGACACAAAACAAAAACCAAAATGGGATGCTGTGGAATAATCCTTTGTACATTGTCAAGATTTGTGGCTGTGATTGGTTTAATAAAGAAGCTGAGTGGCAAATAGCTGAACAGGATAAAGTTAGGCGGAAAAGCCCAACTAAGAATCATGGGGAAAAGAAAGGTGGAGTCAGAGGAGTTGCAAGCAGAGACAGAGAGAACCAAGTTGGGCATGCCATACTGAGAAAAATTACTAAGTCATGTGACAAAACATAGATAAGAAATATGGATTAATTTAAAGGGTTAGCTAGTAGTAAGCCTGAGCTATTTATGAGCATTTATAATTAATATTAAGACTCTGAGTAGTTGAGAGTG